AACACTATTCGGGTGACGACTATGAAGGCCACCATTATTCGAATGGAATTGGGGGTGAACTGGTTTATTGGCACATCATACAGGTTACTCAATTATAGCAGCTCATGTTGGATCGGGAAGCGCAATCCCGACATTATTTGATCAACGAAGAAAGTAAAGCAACCACGAGGAGGATGCTTGAAGTCGTCCGACGGTGTAGGGGCGAGCAACGCCCAATCGGAGGGAAGAATGTTGTATTCTCTAAAGCCCTCGATTTCGACTGCAGGGGCATAACAAAAGGGATTAAGAAGAGCTAATTTTGCTACAGACAGGCTAAAGTTACAGGCTCGACTGAAGGAGCGATTGTTAATGAATGTACAAGACTTGTTCTATACACGGGGATATCTAGTAGCCTAAGAGGGATAACTCGAGGGATTAGATTAAGTCGAGGAGACCCCAGGGTACGAGAGGTCTCAGGGTCCTCAAACAGAGTGCCGGATAGCAGTGCTTGATTATACACATCCCTGTCAACTCCAAAAGATGAGGTTGTGGAATGAACAGAGTTCTTGGGATCGACATTTAGGCCGGCACTCGGTCCGACAGAGATTATTTGTACAGAGTCAGAAATCGAGTAGTTGTCAATTTTGCGGGCAAGAGATCCAGAAACAAGGTCGGAGTCAGAATCTAAAAAGAAAAGAGAGCGGCAATCAATAGATGTGGATAATTACAACCGCAATTCGACTTCAAAAGAAACAATTCAATGAAGAAGCTAGGAAAACGCGTGAAGCGACTCGACAGAGGAGAAAAAGAAGGGAAGAAACAAGGAAAACATTTCCTGCTTCGACTCGACTTGACATATGAATGCCAAGTCGATGGCTAATTAATCCGTAAAAGAGCAGAAGAGTCAATTTTTCATATCAAATCGACCAAGAACTGAAAACTCTTAGGAAAACGAGAATCCCACAATTGGAGATCTACAAGAAAAATCGCCAAAAAAAATCATCTATAAAATCCCAGAAAATCCAATGAACCCATGAACCTCAAGTATATCACCCAGAAAAACAAACAAGAAAAAATCACAATAGCAAGAAATCGAAAAGCAAAAGTAGAAACTTACACATGATGGCAGCCGGAGAAGTCCTGAAGAAACCTGAGAAGAATGCCGAAAAAGGAAAACGAGCGCCGGAAGCTTTTGATGCTTTTATTGCCGGAGAAGAAAAAGAATTTGAGAGATCATAATGCTAAAAGTGAGAAAAGGAATAGGGCAATGGTATTTATAGGGGAGGAAAGGAAACCTTGGCCCTTAGACCAAAGGCAAATCCAACGGTTGAGATGATGCACGGAATGCGAAGCGGTGAAGAGAGAGAAAATGTCTTGTCAAGCACAAAACCTTTTTGAATTTTGAAATTTAAAAGAAAATCCGAACTTATCCAGTCAAAGTGGGAATTTAAACAAGTGAGAAAACTACCCGCAAGTCGAGAGGCAAATGAAGACGAAGGAAACAAGGAAATCGGCTGAGAGGAACTCTTATGAGGATTCAATCCCGGCTGACCACGTATGGTAAAGCACAGTATGCAGAAACTTACGTTGACTATCCAATCGACAAGCTTACTCTTAAGCTCAGAATCGCTTCGAGTAATTTTTGGAGGGACTAGATGATATAGCCATACTGTAGCATAACGGTTCAAACATCAGTTAACCGGTCGAAGAACTGGAATGAGAGTCGGTTTCTGGTAATCGACATCAAGGAATCGACTTTTGTGGTCGACTCTTCTCTCAAACTTCCAAAGAGCTTTCAGCCCTACAAGCTCCAGATACTCACCCGCCTCAGCCGGCCTCCCGAAGTCGACCTCCAAAAGTCGACTTCCCCCAGAAGGACGAGTAAACGTAACATGACCTATCGACGCTTAGTAAGGACCTAAGTCGACTCGACGGCGTACTAGGTCAATTTAAGGCGTCTCGAGACCCTAAGACCTCCGACGACTCCCACATACTTCAACATAGAATAATAAGGTTATTAAGGATAAGAAGGAATCTGGATGCTGACTATGAGGTGGACGGAATGCGAAACGACTAGGGTATTTCGGACATTTCATATAAGTTGACCAGGGTATTTTGGGGACTTCAGGTAAATGATATACTTCTATATAAAGGAGCTTAGGTAACCCTAAACCCTAACTCACATTCATTCTATACTTTCCTACATTGCTGCTGCTCTCTCAGGACAGCTCTCTTCATCTCTCTCACATACTGACTTGAGCGTCGGAGGCTCTACGCCGGAAACCCCTCCGGCGTTGAGTTCTTGCAGGTGTTCTTTCGGTTCAACGACGGTTCGAAGGCGGTCAAGGCAGATCTGAGCTCATTTCCATCGGTTCATTTCAGATCTGAGCTTGTTTCCATTGATTCACTCCAGATCTGAGAAGAGACCCATCAATTTTATTTATCATTGATGTGCATTTAGTATTTTTTTTAATAATTTACAGATTTAATATGAACAAAATTATACAATTAACTTTTTAAAAATTGCACAAAAGTCCCTATACATTGTCTAATTTACAAAAACCAATCCATCCCTCTCCAATGGCCGCTGAAAAATCCAAATGCCGGAACCACCATCAAGCCGCTCCCTGCAGCCGCCAGCCTTGTCAGCACAACACCATTGACGACGAGGGACACCAGCAGCCGCCTAAAAAATAACCCAATCCTCATCTCTGCAAAATCCCCGCCCGCCAGAGCCCCATCAGGCCACCCCCACCGCCGCCAGCCCTTATAGAACCACATCGCCTCCGACGCAACTAAAATGCCCCAAATCACAACATCTACAAAATCCCCAATCCTCACCACTGTCAAATCACCGCCGGTCGGAGTCCCCATGAGGCCACCTACACCACCGCCATCCCTTCTAGAACCACATCGCCGCCGCAGATGACAACAACAGACACCACCAACAGCATCCATCCTCGCCGCGATGACGACAACACAGTCCGTTTGATCGTCGACACCTTCTTCATATTCGCTGGATGTCGTCAGACGTATTATTATCAATCGGATACATCGCCAGTTGCGGTTGAGATGGAGATGCCGGCAAAAAGTTAACGAGAGAAAGCGAGATCGCATCGGTCGAGGTGAGAGATAAAGGTGAAAAATAATAAGTGGGAGAGAGAGACACAATATGTGTAGTTGCCAATGTCAATTACGACTATGCCCTTTGCATACCAAATTTACCTTAATGTTGCATAAAATTACAACTATGCCGCCGCTTAATTTCAGCGTGGTCAACAGCCCCTGACACATCTTAACCGTTAATTTGACAATTCTTGTGGTATATTCTCATTTCTTTCATTATCTTCCTTTCTCATATGATCCCTTCTCTCTCTCTCTCTCTCTCTCTCTCTCTCTCTCTCTCTCTCTCTCTCTCTCTATATATATATATATATATATATATATATAATTGCTAGCATATCATTTGATAAAACCTCCATAATTTTCCCGCAAAAAACCGTTACATTTCCATTTCATAAACTATATCTATAATATATATAATTACAAACAAAAAATTTAATAAAACTATTTTTTGTTTTCCACCTTTTTTCATCACAATCTAATATTATTATTATAAATATTATTATTATTATTGTTGTTGTTGTTATGTTATTATTATTATTATAAATATTATTATTATTAATATAAAAAATATACTTATAGGTATTAGATTGATACAAATAATAAAAAATTTCCCTCGTATTTTTCAATTAATGTAAAAGGAAACCGTTCCATTTTACATTAATTCGGTGTAGTAATAAGTTTAAGCCAATTTATTATATAATAGTACTACTAATACTGACTAATTATAAATATTCATTAAATCTTATGTGAAAAGTTACATTATTATAAAAATTATATTGCAAACTTTTTTCTTTAATATATATTACTTTACAAAAATATTATTTTTTTATCTTATTAAGTGATTTTAATTAGTGAATTGGTATAAGTACCATAATTAAACTCTTAAAATCACATAAAAAGTTGTTATAACAGTAATAAAAATAATTATAACACTTTTGAATTGATTAATTGGATGGTCTTTTTAAAATGGAATTACATTATCCATTACATTTTATATAATCAATACAACAGTTTTTTTTCCAAAACGATAAATAAATATAACAATTCATATGTACATAAATACTTTATATTTATATTGTACATTTACATATAGTCAAAAATTTAAAATGGAACACACACACACAATGTCTAATTTAAAAATCTAAAAATTATAGGCATACATATATAGGCTACGTTTGGTAAAACTAGCTGATAAGGTAGCTGATAGCTGATAAGCTAGCTTATAGCTTATATGTAATTTTTTAGCTTATAGCTTATAGCTTATGACTTATCGCTGAAAAGCTAGCTTATATGATAAAAGATGTTTGGTAAATTAGCTGATAAGCTAGTTGAAATAAAAAATTCAACTAGCTTATTTGAAAAGCTACCTAAAGTAGCTTATAAAATAAGCTCGAGCTTTTTCAAAAAGCTCGTCCTACCAAACGAGGCTTATTTTAAACAGGGAGCTTATAAGCTAACCAAATAAGCTATAAGCTAGCTTATTTGGCTTACCAAACATACCCATAGTATATAAACATTTATTCGTCTATGTGCATGTGCAGGAGATGAAATACTAGTTTCTATAGATGTGATTTGTATTTTCATAAATGTTTTGTGAAGTGGTTTTTTTGTAATTTATTTTTAATAAGTGGCAATTACGTAAATTTGCCCCAACTCGAATTTGGATCCGTCTAACTGAACTGAAGAAAAAAGATCTCATACTCTTCGGAGAAGAAAAACGACGTCGTATGCCCCAACTCGAATTTGGATCCGTCTAACTGAACTGAAGAAAAAAGATCTCATACTCTTCGGAGAAGAAAAACGACGTCGTATGCCTCTGTTTTCCGCAATACTCGTATATATATATTAACCCTTCAATATCGGAGTTCAATTCAACGAATATTAGGTAAGGGGGAATGGGATCGCCAGTGATAAGCCCAGAGGACGTGCTAGAGACCCTCATGAACGACGGCACAATCGACGCTATACGCTTGAAAATCATCAATCAGCTCAAAGCTAATGTAAGAATTCGCGCATCTGTCTTCGCCTGTGTTTATAAGCTTGCATCTGCACCTTTTTTTGGTTAAAATTGAGCAATTCGATTTGAGGATCATGTCATACATTTTCAGAATTAGGGTTTCGTTGTTCAAGAATATTGTTTAGTGGAGCTAATATTACAAATTTACACAAATTCTTGTATGAGCTGACCTAGTTACGGCGAACCTGTCATACTATACTTTTGTTTATGTTGGTTTTAGATAATGATATTTCAGTTTGAAAGCATTTTGGAGTATGATGTTGCGGTTCGAAAGCATGCGTATTTGTTGAAAAAGTATTGCTGGCCAACCGGCCATTAGTGTGGCTAAATGTAGCCTTTTTGTTAATTTTATGAGTGAAATAGTATTTTTTTTTTTTTTTTTCTTGTGAGAAATTTGGATGGGCTGTTACTGAGAATGTCTTTGGAACTATTTGGACTTGATTTTTTGACATACGTTTAGAAGATTTGCCTTTTTGCTGATTTGGGATTGATTCTATAAGTTATGCAAAATATTGCAACTGTGAATCATGTATGCATCGGTTCTTTACAATATACTTTTGTGAACTGTTGCAATGTCTTTTATTTAAGCTCTGATTCTTTCTTAAGACGTGATTGTGTTATTTTTCCAGTTTTCGTGGATGTCTAGAAAGTGTATTCTTATTCCTGCACAGAAATAATTGGCTTGATTGCACGTTGGTTTACGGAGTAAGGATTATATAGGGTAAAAAGGAAAACAATTTGTATATCGTTGCAGGAGGAGCTCAAGAGTAACACGATAAAAATGGCCGAGCAGAGTAAGGTCCTAAATACCCCTGGTGCTGAAAAACAGACAAAGAGAGAGTTGTTTGATGCACTTCGGCAGGAGCTCGAGTGAGTGATTTTTTTATATTCACTCAAATTTTACTAGTATTATGCTTATTAAAAGGGTGCGCTTAAGTTTTTTGGCTGTCTTAGAGCTATTCTAATTTGGGTTTTGTTATTTGATGGTGTGTTTTTCTCCTTGGCTTAATTAACTTACTGCATGATAATACAATGATGACTTGCTAGCACTGGTGACCTGTGCCTACTTGTGCTACTGATTTTGTTTTTCTTTTTTCTTTTATGTTCCTCATAATTTGAGGTTTACATTAATCTCAAAAGGACCTCTTGTGTTTCTTAATTACGAATATTCTTATATATTATTTTTATTTTACAAATTTCTCTAGCAATAACGTGCAAGCTGTAAGATGAGATGTACGCGAACTTGTAAGTTTATAAGACAAATGGAAAGGTATTTTTGAAATAACTGGCGTATATTTTCGTTGAAGCATATTTAGAGTGACATCTTCCATTTTTTTTATTATCTTTTTTTTAATGTAATTGATAAATATATTTGCAGAACCCCTGTACTTGAGAAGGCTTCTAGATCTGTGTGGGAGCTAATTTTAGATCAGAACGGTTTGGGGAAGGAGATTAGTGACACGGTTGAGCGAGTTTTTTGTCAGCTAAGTGGCCGTGAGCCTCCATTGTTTCCTGAGTTAATCAGTAAATCCCAGCAAGAAAAAGAAAAAGACGGTGCTGGGCCTGTGACTTCAGCCAAGAAAAGAAGCTTTCATGACATGAGCAAAGATGAAACAGACAGAGTTGAGCAAGAACCTGCCACTATGTCGGCTGTGCCCGATAATGTTACCACGACAGGGCTGTCACCTAAGCCCCAAAAGTAGAATGTACCAGAGTGCTTCCTGTTGCAAGTGTTGTTTGATATATACAAGTTGTAGTGTCGTAAATTCTTTTTTTGTTGTGATTTTTCCCTCGTTCTTTTATGACTGGCCTGGAATTGTTATGCTTTTCCGACATTGATATCAAAGGGTTTAGTGATGGGTATGGTTGGTAATATTTACTTTGGATAGATTTGAATGGAATGAACGAGAGTTTCTGTAAGGTGATATCGAGTTTTTCAGTTTTGAAAATCGATTCATGCTCACGTTCATGAGGCATAAAATCTTTCATGAACTTGTGTCCTCTGAACTGGTTATTTCCAGGTGATTTCACCATAATCTGCATTATATTTGTATTGAGCAAATGGAAAGTGAAACTCTTGAGCTCGTGTGACTTTTTCATAAAGGTTGTTAAAAAAATAGCTAGTGCATAGCTCGTGCGATGCAAGAGACACATTTATTAAATGAGTCGACACATTTGTTAAATGAGTCATTTCTATAGGGATTGTACGTTTAGACACAAAAATAATAAGGTTAGATCATTCATTTTCTATCTTTTTAATCAGTGATGTTTATTTTGACCTCGTTAAAATGTTAGTTAATTTATTATTTCGCTAACACCTTATACTAATAAATTTGATTTTAGAATATATAATTATTTATTGATATATGAAAAAATAACAAATTATTGTTCATCATATAATACTCAATTATGATTTTATTATAAAATTTGTTGTCATATAATGTCATGAATATTATTTATAAAAGTTATACAAGGAGTTTTCTTCTTCTTAATTTATGTAATAAAATTTAAAATGAAATTTTATTATACTGGATATAAATAACAATATTGAAGATGTAAATAAAACTATTAAAGGAAATAATCCTTTTTATCATTAACTATTTGGAAATGTGTATATGCAAACATTTCATGCACATATTTAAAATATTTTCAAAAAAGATATTCATCTAATGTTTTTAAATTTTTTTGCTGCTATTTTTAGTAAATGATTATTCACTTTATATATATATATATATATATATATATATATATATATTGTGTGTGTGTGAGAGAGAGAGAGAGAGAGAGAAATAAGAATAATTCTAGATCATTGGATTCATCAATTCAATGGTCATGATCAAGTCAAACTTTCATAAATAATGGTCAGTTACTAATGAAAATCAGGTAATTATTTAAACTATTGTGGTCAAATGTGTGCATTTGACCAATAATCCGAGTATATTAGTCATTACATTTTTTTCCATCTCATCTAGTGGGACCCATCCCAACCAACAAACCTAATATCTCTCACCCCCTCCTCTCCCCACACACACACATATCACACAATCAACTCAACACACACACACGCACACACTCAAAACATACACTAATTTACAGTCTCGTCGACATCCACCTTCCTCCGCCCACAGCTATAGTCGGAGACCATTGTGTCGACATAGATCCAACCTTCTCCAGAGTGCTCTAGTTGTACCGACACCATCCATGCCTTTCTCCGCCATCGCCAGAGGTTCACCCCGTTAGTATGCCCCCTCCAAAATCAGCCCAGCCACCGACGTCAGCAGTCATGTCACCGCACAAACATTACGACCACGACGGCATACACCTGGGATCTTCATTTGGTCGAAGCAGTGGTGGCAGAGCTCGATGGCCATGGCCCCGTGGTCGACAACCTCGACGTCGACGAGGCGATGACGATTGATTCAGAGAGCGGGCGCCGTCAGCTCCGACGTTGTGGTGGGTAAACCAGCTCAGGACATAGGGCCGGCCAACGCCGACAACGATGCCATGAAAATTTGACCGGGTGATTATAGAAGGTGACATTTG